AAAAGGCAGCATAAAGTATCCTCATGACCAATGGAGAAATTAAAGACATGGTTCTCTCACAAGTACAGGGACTCTGAGTGCTCTGAAGCTTAATATCTTGAAATCGATAGAAATTATACCCTGATATTATCCTTTATACAGGCACTATCTCAGATCCACCAACACTAGACTATATCTTCCATCCTAATGGATTCACAGGAACCTCTGTATCTCAAGCAATTACACCTCATTGAGACAGTCTTCCAAATTTAGAAATCCATTGCATGTTTTTGTATCCTACGGTAGCACATAGTACATATTCCAGTGAGTATATAAGACTTAATTCTATACTACTCACTTAGTAGACACAAAAACTCTACATGGTAGATAGTGTCTTTCACTTTATTTTACAAATTAAAAAACTGAGGAGAGAAATGTTGAGTTTTCTCAAGGTCATATTGACTAAGCACTGAAGTCAAAATCTGAACTATACAGTAGTATATCGGAGCCTGGGCTCTTCAACATTATGCTCTACAATATCAAATGTTTCACTTCTGGAATAGAGACAGAACAAACTATGTTTGCTGACCTGAAAAATTGCTAGGCCCTGATATCTTAAAAATATATTCATTAAAAATATATTTTTAGGACTCAACATCAGTGTACTACTTTGAAATGAACACACTTCAAGGGGGTCAACTACTTTTATTATATGATTTGAGAAAACAAATTTAATATTTTTTGCATAGGACAATGTCTTGCAGGTCAAGGTTTTTAAAAACAGTGAATTAAATAAAAATTGGTCTCAATATATCAATCAAATATCACACCAATCATTGGAGAAATATAATAATGATTTTAGCTCTATAAATCTGAGTCAGGCTAAAAGCAGTAGGTTTGGGCTTAAAAACAGGGATGAAAGAATGCACTGAGTAAACTTTCCATCCAGCTGAGCTTTGTAGATCTGAAATTTATCCATAGATCTAGATAGTTTTTAAAAGGTTCCCTGATATATAAATGTCATCTTTGAGTTATCTGGGGTAGATATGGGTCTGAACTGCTTCACCCTTAAATCCCTGCCTGTATGAGGGTCCTCTAACAGTTCTTTAAAGAAAATGAGGTTTCAAGTGCAACTTGGTAGCAACTGGTTTCCCTTGTGATACAGAAAATCCACTCACAGCTCTTGCTTGGCACTAATAGCAAAACAGTAGACTTGCTCTTTGAAGTAGTGTTGAAAAACACAGCTTTGGGAGAGTAGAGAATTTCTTCAGGCCACCAGGCTGTCAAAGAGTTCCAGATTAGCCCTTTCTTTGATCAATCTTAAACATGCTGAAACTGTACTGTAACGGGGATATTTTTGACTCAGCCCATCATGTGAAGGTCTCTTAGACATGCTTGGACAAATAAAGGTGTTCCCTTCTTATTAAAAATATTCAAAAAGTCAATAAAATGAAAGGCATCAAAATATAAAACAATCCTTAGAGGGTCTAACATAAAGAAGTAGACAGAACAAACTATGTTTGCTGACCTGAAAAACAAAATTTAGGAGTAGATAAGAACATAGGAGTCTTTGCAGTGAGATGGAGTAACCCAATAAACATAAGAACTTGATGTAATACTGTAAACAAAACGCAAGCAACTCTCAGAGGGACAAGGGGATGGCCTTACTGTCAATAAAAACCTAAACAACTACTTAGCTCAGATGATAGTTGAGGGAAAACTTGAAAGTACACTGATTTTTTAAGAAACAGAAGAGGAAAAAAACCTATAATCAAATGAAGGGAATTCAAAACTAAAACCTCAAAATAAAGGTTTTGGAAATAGAGGAGATACAGGAACTCTTGCATCAGAAAGAGATAGCTCTAGGGAGAATTGAGGACAGATTTGAAAGAGGAGGGATAAAATATCCAACTGTGGGGAAGATGTGTCATCAGGATTACCAATAAACTTGCTCTATTTTTGTGCAAGTTCAAGATGGAAGGCATCTTTGAGCAACTAGCGCTCAAAGGATATACTGACAAAATAATCTTCATAAAATATGCAGGTATTCCTATTTAAAGTAATCCTCAAGAAAAGAGTGGGAAAGGACATAAGCAATACTCAGACTTAAATCTTGTTATTAAATAAAGAAGGTATTTTACATAGGAGGCAAGGCTTGTAAAGTTATATAACATGCAAAGATAGAATAAGGGCTAGAAGATCCTATCTCCCAATATTATTTCTCATTAAAGACTAAAATCTATAAAGGCATTTCTCCAAGCTACCTTAACCTACCTCCATCAAATTCTAAATGTTTCCCTGATTTAGTGACAGTCCTCAAGAGTAAAATGGCAGCTTTTAACAAATATTTCTAAGGTGACCGGACAAGAAGCAAAACAGGAAGACAGTGTAACCAATTAAAACTTCAGAGGACATTTAGATAAAACATGAAACAGGACCAAGACTCTTAGGTCACAGCCCTCAGCTGCAAAACAGTTCCAGGGGACATGTAATGACCAGAGGGAACCCAGAGTTCACATCAGCAATGCACTACTAAGATCTCTGCTCAATTCAGTTTCTCAGAAAAAAGCACCAGCCCCAAGTGCAACCACACTGCAGCTGGAGGCAACTGCATTCTTAAGGAATGCCTAAACTGAAACAAGTCCTAAGGGGAATCAATCTATCGTCCACATCTTCTGAGAAAGTAGCCAAAGTCCAGAGAGATTAATGTCACATGTCCAAGTTCATAAAGAAAGTCAATATTTGAAACAAGATTCAAATGTGAGAGGCTTGTGCAGTGATTTAACAAACCAGTGATCAAGGATGGTGCTCATTTCACATATGCTACTCTGTTAAGACCTTCAGTAAACTTGTAAGACCATGTGTCCTGCCCTCTTTTCAGCACAGTATGACTCCTTTCCCACCTTACCCCTCCTATCATGGATACATGAAAATTTATGCAAATATTAAAGTAAATACACTTCTGGAAGATGTGAACTTTTTCTATAAAAATATAAATGTACACTATGAATGCAAAAAATAAACACTGCTATAGTTAGATTTTTTCAAAAGCATTGTTTTACAGTAAATACTCTGATTTCCATGTATGTTTTGGTAAATCAAGTTTTTTGAGAGTGGAATGTATTAATTCTTTAAATCTTTTTCTCTTAGTTACTTATGTTCAAAGCAGTAAGTTTTCAAATTTGTTGCTTTTATAAAACTATATTTCCTTCATTTGTCAACTTCTACTTCAACAAGTTTGATTTTTAAAAATACAGATTCGAGGAGTGACTATGAATGTAATTTTTTTTTCTAATATGAACCTTTTGGTCAAAATAAACAACTGTCCCTTTAACATTCCATGATATTTAGGAACAACTATCAAACAAAATGGAGAAATATCAGTCTATTTTACTTCTCTTAACTCTAAATAGAATATAATCTTTCAACAAACAGTAATACAAGCACATATCTAAATTAGTTGCAAGAATATTGGTTGCAGGAACTGAAGACCTAAAAGGTTTACTGTGAGTTAAGAGGTCAATTACTGGCTGGGCTAGGTGGCTCAGCCTGTAATCCCAGTACTTTGGGAGGCCAAGGCGAGTGGATTACCCGAGTCCGTGGTTTCGAGAGCTGCCTGGGCAACTCGGCAAGACTTTGTCTCTACAATAAATAAAAAAAATTAGCCAGGCATGGTAGTGCATGCCTGTAGTTACAGCTACTTGGAAGGCTGAGGTGGAAGGATCACCAGAGTCCAGCAAGTCAGCGTTGGGGTGGCCGTGAGTATGCCACTGTACTCCAGCCTGGGCAACAGAGTGAGACACCAACTCAAAAAAAAAATTTTAAAAAAAGGTCAATTACTTCCAAAATATGGCTTTTGTTATATTTAAAACAGGACAACACAACAAAAACTAGTACTGTGATGATGGCTCAGTTTTAATTCTTCGATTTGTATAAAGTTGAAGTAGTCTCTTATGAGATCATGTGTTAGAGCCAATATACCACAGGTTAGTTCTGCTGGATGACAGGGACATCACATAAGTTCTTATTATGAATATCAAGACAGATTTTGACTTGAGTCTGAATTTGTTAAATTGTATGCATTAGCCTCTCTATGGCATTCATAACCATTAATATGGGGGAAATAATTTCACTCATCAAATTGAATCTTCACGTCCTAAGACACTACAAAGGGAAATAAAAAAGGTCAGAAATTTCATTAGGATAGTCAGGAAAGCATCTCTATTTTCTGTTTAATGGAATAAGACAGTCAATGGCTAAAACAGTAAATGGACATACTACAATGAGTCATTATAGTACCCTCACATTTGCAGCTGAGAATAGTACAAAGAGTGTAACATTATATACGTAGTATAGTAATTAAATGAAAACAAGCTAGGGGTAGCAGCCGGAATCCCTAAAACTGACTGCTTTTCCAGATTGAAGAAATGGAGGATGATAGAAATGGAAGATGTCCCTCATTTGTTCCACCAACCTTTCCCCTGACTAGACTGCTAATTATAAACCCTTTACTATTCTTAAGCAAAATATGCCTCCCTCTATCCAGCCCAACCCACCTAAGTTCCTTCTCTTCCCTTCTCTTCTTGGTGCCAAATGGTCTATGGTGAAGAGAAAACACCCTGACAGCAATAACTCATCTGTTTTACTGGTCAACAAAGGAGCAGGTAGAATCTCAAGACCTGATAATGTTTTCCAACTGACAAGTAAAAATACTCGCAGATGATAGCACATAGTTTAATGTCATCAAACATATTTACTCTTCTTTAGAAGATTATTTTTCTAGGCTTAGCAGCCATTTTTGTGTGTCTCTAACAGCTTCTATTAGAAAAGATACTTCCCTTCCACACAAGTCATCTACAAAGATGGCACAATCCTTTTAATTGCTATATTAACACAATTTTAAAAACAACTTGAGATGCGCCACGGCTTTGGTAGCGGTGGTAGCTCCTGCTAGGCCTCAGCTGTGCTAGCACTTCTCCCCGAGACCATGATAGTGAGCCAGCCCGTTCTCCACGGTGACCATGTGTGACAGAAAGGCCATGATAAAAAATGCAAACATGTCGGAAAAGATGCAACAGGACTCGGTGGAGTGCACTACTCAGGTGCTGGAGAAATACAACTTTGTGGTAAACATCAAGAAGGAGTTTGACAAGTATAATCCCACCTGGCATTGCATCATGGGGAGGAATTTCGGTAATTATGTGACACATGAAACTAAACACTTCATCTATTTCTACCTGGGCCAAGTGGCCATTCTTCTGTTCAAATCTGGTTAAAATCAGGGACTGTGCCACACACCCAGTGATCCATCCGAAAACAAGGTCTGCAGCCTAAATTCCAAATACCAGAGACTGAAATTTTCAGCCTTGCTAAGGAAACACCTCGATCTTTGAACTTTTATTGTGCTTTATACAGGGCATTCTCTGTACTAGTTTGTTGTGGTTCTAAAACAATTAGCAAAACTGCTTACATTTGTATTTATTCGATTCCATACTTCTGCCCATTTTTTTCTCTCAAAATCCATTCCTTTAAAAAATAAATCTGTTGCAGATGTGAAAAAAAAAACAACTTAAAAGACAGCTAAAACTTGACATATAATTAAAAACAACTGAAAACTTAACTACCCTTTATTTTCTCTTATTTCTGAGTTTTATTGTTTATTTTATTTTATTTTTTTGAATTGGAGTCTCACTCTTGTTGCCCAGGTTGGAGTACAGTGGCATACTCATGGCTACCGCAGCCTCGACCTGCTGGGCTCAGGAGATTCTTCTGCCTCAGCCTCCCAAGAAGCTAAAACTACAGATGCACACCACGATCCCCCGCTAGTTTTTTTTATTTATTGTAGAGACGTGGTCTCATCAATTTGCCCAGGCTGGTCTTGAACCCCCAGGCTCAGGCAATCCTCTTTTCTTGGTCTCCCAAAGTGCTGGGATTACAGGCTAAGCCACCGTGCCCAGCTTATTTCTGAATTTTAAAGAAGTTTGCTTCTAAATTATTTCAGACAGTAAAACTTGGAGTAATTTCTTGACTAAATTGCATTTCTTGAATGATTTATGCTTTTAAACATATTTTCTCCGCCAGCCACAGTGGCTCACACCTGTAATTCCAGCACTTTAAGAAGCCAAGGCAAGGGGACTCCTTGAGTCCAGGAATTTGAGACCAACATAGGCAATATAGTGAGACCTCATCACTACAAATAGTCAAAAAATTAGCTGGGTATGGTGATGTGCACCCATTAGCCCCAGCTACTTGGGAGGAGGAGGTGGAAGGATCACCTGAGCCCGAGAGGTCAAAGCCGTGGTGAGCCACAATTGTGTCATTGCACTGCAGCCTGGGTGGCAGAGTGAGATCTTGATTAAAAAAAAAAAAAAACTTAAGGAAAAAACAATATGGCTAAATACATGTCATCTAAATAACAAAAGGAAAATGCAAATAGAACCTATAAGTATACAAGAACTAAATCATGGGACATGCAAGTCTGAGTCCTAATCAATGTGGTTTTAAGACAGAAAATGTCAGTGAGAAAAAAAGTCTTTTGACAATGTATTGTATTTGACAGGCAGTGAAAAAGCAGGGTTTTATTTAGTATAAGTTCTAAGGCAATGCACATTGTGATGAAAATGTTGGAGAAACAACCTGGAAAGAGAAACTCTCAAATCAGTGGATTTAATACATGATTTCTGAAAATCTACACTGATAACAGCAGAAGGTTATGACTCCACTGCCAGGGAAGAAGTGTGATGATACAGCCCAGGCATTACATGAGGGAAATCTAAAAAGCACAGCATTCCTACTTTTTGCAGTTTACTGATGAAAATATATTAATTGCAAGGGGCCCATCTATTATACTGGGGAAACACAATAGCACGCTAACTGGAATCAAACCAGCAGCTGTTGAAGGACTTGACTTTCAAGTATTCTGGTATTGTCAATTGCCAGTGATACCATCATCTTGGCCAATCTCATCATCATCAACGTCATCATGTGGTGGTGACCATCACTAAATTACTCAAGAAAGGATAAAGACAATTTAGCTAGCTAAACAGGATGTAAAAAATATAGCCTACGCAACAATCAACCTATCTGCTCCAGAAGATATTTCGTAAAGCTATCAATGTCTTTTCTCACGTTGATTTCTTGGAAGATAATCTATGTCATTTTATTGGACCTGTTGTTTGCATATGGTAGATAATATATGTATTATAAATTATAATATATATTTATATTATACATTTTTACACTATGCAAATATTAAAGTCAATAACTATGATTCAGCAATCCCAATGACTGGGTATATATCCAAACAAAAGGAAATCAGTATTTTGAAGAGATAGCTGCACTCTCATATTTATCACAGCACTATTCACAATAGTGAGGATATGGAGTAAACGTAAGTGCTCATCAGCAGATGAATGGATGGAGAACATGTGCCATATACATACAATGAAATACTATTCAGCCATAAAAAAATGAAATCTTGTCATTGGCAGCAACATGGATGAAACTGGAGGACACTGTGTTAAATGAAATAAGCACAGAAAGATAAATGCCACATGTTCTCACTCATGTGGAAGCTTAAAAGGTTGATTTCTCAGAAATAGTAAGATAGCAGCCATTAGAGGCTGTGATGGGAGGGGGAGGAAGGATGGGAGAAATTGGTTAAGAGGTACAAAATTATAACTAAGTAGGAGGAATAAATCCCAGTGTTCTATAGCACTACAGGACTACAATAGTTAAGAATTATTTATTATATATTTTCAGAGAGTTAGAAGAGAGGGTTTGACTGTTTCTAACCCAAATATGTGATTAATGTCTGGGGCATGGATAAACTCATTACCCTAATTTGATTGCTATACATTATATGTATGGAAACATTACTATGTGTTTCATAATTATGTATAAGAGTGTGTCAATTAAAAATCAAGAAATAGCTTATAATACTCAAGATGGAAACAATTATTACAATGTAGGCTAATGATACAGCCTTGGAGTTTTTTTAAAGTTCATATTGAAAGAGATCTTGGCTCACATTCTACCAGAGAGGCGAAGAGATTTGCCACGTTACATAATTACAGAGCCTTGCCCACTACCTATCATGTCAACAATCTGTCATACTACTTACCTCCTAAAAACATATGGGGAAAATTATGTTTGACAAAAAGGGTCAGTAAGATAACACAATTTCAGACAAATCAGTTTTGATTTGCTCAGATTGAACTATTTTCACATAATAGCATGGTTTTATTAATATCAGCACTATTTAGTGTTTGTATGCTTTAATGGGAGTGATTTGATCTCTGGTGTATATTGTTTTCATTTTATAGGCCAATGGATCGAGTGGTCGTAGTCAGTGCAGCATAACAGCTGATATTCCTAGTTTTCTGACATATTCAAATATACAAAGTAATCTAAGTCTAATAAAATAGAAGTAATAACTTCAAAATGTAAAATAATGAAATATTGCAGATCTCCTTTCTGAAATGTGACATAAAGAAGTAGCTCTCTTCTTAACAATGTTTAGGAGTACACAGGAACATAGGCATCTCTGTAGTGAGAAGGGGTAGGCCAATCAACATACGAACTGGATGTGATATAATTACCAAGTACTGTGAACAAGAAGCAAGCAACCCTCAGAGGGACAAGGGGATGACCTCGGTGTTAATAAAAGCTTGAACAGCTACCTAGCTCAGATGATAGTTAAGGAACAAAAGTGAGAACTTAAAAGTACACTTATTGTTTTAGAAAGAGTATAGAAAATGCCTATGGTCAAATGGAAGAAATTCAGAACTAAAACCTAAAAATGAAGGGAGACACCAGGGAGAGACACATATTTGGAAACAGAGGAGAAACAGAAACTCTTGCATCAGAAAGAGATAGCTTTAGGAGGAATTGAGGGCAGATTTAAAAGGAGGAGGATAAAGTATCCAACTGTGGAGGAAGATGTGTCATCAGGATGACCAATAAACTTGCTCTATTTTTGTGGATGTTCATGAAGAGGCATCTTTGGGCAACTAGTTTTCAAAAGACACCCTGACAAAATAATCTTTAAAAAACAGACAGGTATAACTATTTAAAGTAATCCTCAAGGAAAGAGTTGGAAGAGACATAAGCAACACCCAGACCCAATTCTTGTTATTATATAAAAAAGGGTTTTAGGCAGTGTGCAATGGCTCACACCCATAATCCCAGCATTCTGGAAGTCTGAGGCGGTAGGATCACTTGGGTACAGGAACTCAAGACCAGCATAGGCAACATAGCGAGATCTTGTCTGTATAAAAAATTAAAAATTAGCCCAGTGGGGTGGCATGCACTTGTAATCTCAGATACTTAGGAGGTTGAGGAAGGAAGATTGCCTGAGCCCAAGAGAAGGAAGTTGTGCTGTGCAGTGTTCATGCCACTGCACTCCAACCTGGGTCACAGAGTGAGAACCCTGCTCAAAAAAAAAAGTGTTTTACAGAGGAGGAAAAGCTTCAAGAGTTTATATTACATGCAAAGATAGAATAAGTGCTAGAAGATTCCATCTTCCAACATTATTTCTCATTTAAGACTAAAATCTTGGGTTCGAGAACAGCCCAGGCAACGTGGCAAGACCTCGCCTCTACAATAAATAAACAATTAGCTAGGTATTATAGCTCACGCCTGTAGTTTCAGCTACTTAGAAGACTGAGGCAGAAGAATCACCAGAGACTAGCAGGTTGATGCTAGGGTGGCTGTGAGTGTGCCACTGCACTCCAGTCTGGGTGACAGAGTGAGATTCCAACTCAAAAAAAAAAAGACTAAAATCTTTAAAGGCATTTCTCTACAGCAACCTAAACTCATCTCCATCAAAGTCTAAATATATTTCTAGAAGGGCTCAACAACAATGGCCCACGTTTTCCCTGATTTAGTGACAGTCCTCAAGAGTAAAGTGGTAGCTTTTAACAAACATTTCTAAGGTGACCAGACAAGAAGCAAAACAGGAAGACAGTGTAACCAATTAAAACTTCAGAGGACATTTAGATAAAAACATGAAACAGGACCAAGGTTCTTAGGTCACAGCCTTCAGCTGCAAAACAGTTCCAGGGGACACGTAATGACCAGAAGGAACCCAGAGTTCACATCAGCAAAGCACTGTTAAGTTCTCTGCTCAATTCAGTTTCTCAGAAAAAAAGCACTAACCCCAAGTGCAGCCACACTGCAGCTGGAGGCAACCTCATTCTTAAGGAATGCCTAAACTGAGACGAGTCCTAAAGGGAACCATCCTATCATCTACATTTTCTGAGAAAGTAGCCAAAAGAGAAGTTAATGTTATGTGTCTAAGATCATAAAAAAAGTCAATACTAGAAACAAGATTTAAATTTGAGAGTTTTGTACAGTGATTAAACAAACTAATGATTAAGGATGGTGCTCATTTCACATATGCAGCTCTGTTAGGCTCCTCAGTAAACTTGTAAGAACATGAGTTCCACCCTCTTCAGCAAAGTATGACTCCTTTCCCACTCTGCACCTCCTACCATGGACATATATATACATTTATGCAAATATTAAAGAAAACATACTTCTGGAAGATATGA